TATATTTTCAACAAATATATATTTTAGTGCTGCATTAGGTGTTTACAGATCAGCCAAAATGACAAATTGCAAATGGTGCTGCTTATGAACAGCTATTCCAGAATTCCTAGGAACATGGTGACACTATACAACACAGTAGGTTTCGGCAAGAAGAGACCAGTGAACAAAGGGGTAAAAATATTCTCTATTTAAAAGCCCATAAATCGTTTTCAGTACCTGTTGACAGCAAGAAACTAAATTATATCTAGGAGATTACACTATGATCACAGCACAGCTCTTGCTAGGCATTTGGCAAAAGGTGTGAACTCATTCTAATTCTGTTTTTTTTTATGACCATTATGATTGAGCTGGTATTTTTACTCCAGATAAATCACAGGTGTGAAAAGCAGACTGTTTGTATCCACTGCTAGGATTTCAGCTGGCAGAACTAGGAGTGATCTCATCCTGTGTTGCTAAAGCAACAGAAACATTTTATTTGACTTAGTCTGTTATTTAATCATTTCTGCTACAAAAAGGTCATTATGTAACATGTCTCGAAGGATGCATGTTGATATATTGCTTTTAAAAAAAAAACTATGTAACCAACTAGGCCAGCTCTAGTTATTTTTATAATTGCTATTCAGTCTTTAACCCACTGCAACCCTAAAGAGACTCTTAATATCACAGAGCACCAACACCTATAACATGCAATTGCTACTCATTACCTGCCTTCTACCCACAAAACAGAACAGCTGGCGCTTCACAAGCAGGGAGGGTGTACATTTTGTGCAGCTTTTTGTGCTGAAAACATAGTGCACTCAGCAATATCAGCACCCATACCCCTGACTTAAACCCTAACAACTAATGTAGAACTCCAGCCAAAAAAAAAGCTAGATAAATAGCTATACATGAAATACAACGTATCTTGCGATATTCCCCTTCAATGCAGAGATTTCCCCAGCAGTACTTTCTCTTTCTGCCACAAGAGAAGCCTGATGAGCATGACTAAATTCACTTCTTCTGAGCCCAGGTAGCCATGACTGGACAATGACAATTCTGCTGTTCCATTGTATAGTGCAGGTCAGTTGCTGGATCTGAATCTGCAGCTCTCCTTCTACTATGTCAATGTAATCCATAATGGCACAATGTGTCTATTAAAGTGACATTAAAGTCTAAATCCCCCCCCCATGGTAATGTTAGCACTTACCTTAAATGATGTCTCTTAATCCGATCTTCTTTCCTGATGTTTTCATCTGTCCTTCCAGCGTTGCAGCGGCAGCTTTCCGATCCAGCGCTGACTCCTCTGTCCCTGCAGGCACTTCCGATCCAGCGGTGTCTGCATGCGGGTGCACGCGTCCATAGACTTACCTTGCGTCTCTGCTCGTCTCCCGACCGAAAATCTGAACTGCGCATGCGCCCGTCCCAAGATGCTTTGGGGCTGCTCGATCAGTTTCAGATTCTCACGCGCAGCGATAACACGGTAAGCGTTTTTTCCCCCCCCCCACTTTTTGCCTATATCTACTGCTTGCTAGCAGTAGATATAGGCAACAAAAACCGGAGGGTTTAGAACCCCTTTAAAATTATGCTATGAGCAAGTAAGTATTTGCCATTTTGCAGAGTAGAGTAGGCACTGGCCAGAGAGGGAATACTTTAACACAGCAGGCCCTCAACATGCATTGCAATAAATGCAAACCAAGAATCCCTGTTTTTGAACAAAACACTGCTAGAAATATGTAGCGGTGTATAGCAGTGTACAGTGCTTTCATTTAGGGCCCATTCACACCAATTGCGGTGTGTTCCAGGGCGGCAGCTACTGGAACGCACAGCAATTACTCACAAAACTGGGCGGGAGGGGGTGTGGCGGTGCATTGAAGTCAATAGCACCGCAGCCACGTCTCCCGCAGTGCGATCGGATGCGTGGCAAAACATTGCCTTCATTCTGGTCCACTGCAAGCGCAAAAAAAAAAACGTTTTGGCTCAAAAGGCACTGTAATCCTTAAAGTGAATCTGTCATGCGTAACATATGGGAGCTGCCATTGCTGGGCTTTTTTTGTGTGCGTGGGTTTTTTTTTTTTGTGTGTGCTTGGCTTCAATACTTCTGATCCACACACCTAGAACACGTTTTAAGGAACTAATAAAATTCCTTACCCCAGGTCAGAGACTCAGAAAGCATTGAAACCCAAGCATCAACATTACAGCCAGGGAGCTATAATTCTTCAAGGGCAATGGCAGCCCTCATACTTTTCTCATAACAGAGTCAATTTAAATCTTAATTATAATCTAACACGTAACGCGATTACTGTCTAACAATAACCCTTAAATCGCCTAATCTTTGACCCTAAGCCTATAACCTAAAGCAAACCAGTCAGTACACTAAAAGTTTGCACAAATACTTTTTGGAGATGTCACAATGCATAGTTTATTTTCTGTAACTGTTTTGCATTAGAAAATAGATCTCCAGCTAATTAATTTTGTCCAGGTAAAGTCTTTCAAGATCTGCCTTTAAGGAGCAGTGAGAATGCTGCCTAAGAATGATATCGTCAGTCTGCTGCAGGTAAGAGCAAGAACTTCTTAATCTTTTCCTGTTCATACTGGGTCACTGGGAGCAAGACATCTGTGTGAAAAAAACATTTATATAACATAACCAAAAGCATAAAAGCAACCATCTTAGCCAAGGTATGTTGACCTTGGATGAGATACCTGAACAAAGATAGCACGAGCACCTCCCTCTAGAGAAAGCAATTTAAAAGGCATTTTTAGATGTGCTTTACTCTCTTTAAGAGGTACTTGAAAATGCCACACTTCACATTACTTGATAAGCATTCATGCACATAACATGAAAAAATACAGCTGCATCTGAGGTCTGCGTTAAATCTATTTCCCAAAACTAGATTTACCCAAAAACCTTGATTTCTTGAACTGCACCAAAACATTACAAGGCCATGCTGGGATTGCACCTAAATCCAATGATCCAGGTCTCCAAGTTAAAAGGAATCAGTACAGTATCTAGAGCAGCGGAAACATTACAAATGGGCTCAGTTTACACCACCGCATTGCAGCTGTGTGCAATGAAAAAGCGTGCAGCGGGCCATGACACCATGACACGGTACAAATGTATCACACCGTGCTGTGCCCATAGATCTTCATGAAATTTAACTTGTGACATATCTGTAAAGTTCTAAAAAAAAAAAAACAGGAATTGCCGTGCAAAGCACCAGGATCTGCGCAATGGCACTGTGACTGGTAACACATATCAGCAGCTGGTGTGAATGCAGCCTTAGGTTGTCATCTGAAATAGTTGCAAGTCCTTTCTTAACTGCCTGCATGAAGCAAGTGAAATTCCCTATTGTTTGTAGTCTGTTTTGTCAGTTGAAGTAGCTGGATTCTAAGCTAATGCAGGATAGATGTTTTTATAATAAAGTCTAACATTTTAGTACCTGATATTGCCAGCTTTCCTGTACAGGCTGAGCGTTCCTTCACACCAACATCTGATGACCTGCAAAAGAAACAAAACCATGAACACAACAATGACCTGTATAGAGAACATTTCATGGAAAATTCTAACTCCTCACCACTATCTAAAATTTAAAAAAAGGTTTAGGCTTTACATACTGATAATTCACCGACTATTTGGAGGATATTGTTTTGTAGTTTGTATGAAATCACCTACTTCACTTAAACAATCAGATGCAGGCAGTATTAACAGTGCTGAGATGCAAGTAGTTTGTCAGGCTACATATGTGGGTTTTTTGGAAGTGCTGGGAGGCACTTTCTAATTTCCCATCCAGGCAAGGACAAGGTGCTCGCAGCTTCCAGATATGACATCACAGGAAGCTGGTCTCCCTGCAGACCAGTTTGTGTTGCACATGCGCAGTAGGGTCCAGCTAAGAGTCATTGGGAAGAAGTAACAGCAGCTCCCAAATGCAAAATGTCGGCATGGAAGATCAGAAGCCCAGCAAAGAATCAAGTTTGATAAACAGAGCTGAACGTCATGGGCTGGTATGGGTTTTTTAAAAGCCAGCAGCTACAGAACTCACCACTGCGGACTTTTAGTTTACCCATAGCCAGGAGAAGTTACCCTTTAATGACACATTTTGCCACACAATTGTCTGAAAGATGTGACAATTACACGTGATCTTACAGATGACCCACCACACACCTGAGTGATAAGTCCCCTTATCATCTTGGTGGGTGCAGTAGTAACAGTTGGTGGTGCCACATTAGTTAAATGAGTCGAGGGATTAGCACAGGCTAGCGGCACCCATAGATTGGCCAGGACCACATCTCAAACAATGCCTGGGGCGGGTTAGAGGACTACGGAGTAGCCAGAGTGTTGTCTAGGCATCCCTGTTTCCATGACTATGGTGGCAGGCCATAATAGATGATCGGTGGTATGTTCCAGATTTTAAATCCCTAACACTTTGCTGCATTACTCATGTGAAATAGCATCACATGGCATTTACTAATTATATACCTGTGTATACAAATCACTGAGGCCTTGCGATTCAGAACTTGCAACATTAGCCACCATTTAGATACACTATACTGCATTCATCTAATGTTTTGAAGTTTATTTTGCATAGGGGCAGAAACATCATTATGATGTGAGATGGTAGGGATGGTTTTTATTGGTTCGCTGCTTTCCATTTTGGTATATCAGATTGTATGTAACTTATCACCTTGCCTGATGAAAGGACCCTGCGAGGTCTTGAATCGCCGCTATGAATTGTGATACTATGACTAAATGTCAATCAAGGCGTGTTTTTTTTTTTTAAAAGGCGGCTCTATATTGTGCTGGTTACTTCTCCCTTACAATTACAAGCGAGGCATAATCACCAATAACTCCAAAATGTAAGGTTTAAATTTACCTCTATGTTCTGTATCATGTACTGTATACGGCAGTATTTGTTATGAACTTTTCAGGATGGCACCGTATAGCAAAAGTGTCAAAAATAACAACTACTTGAACTTGTCTTGGTATAAACAATGAAAATGTTGCAGGGTTTTCATGAATTTAGCACACGGCTTCCAACTACATCCACAGAACCCAAAATGTGTCATTATTGCCCCATTGATTCATCTTCTAAGGCCTAGCTCACACCTAGGAGTTTTTGAGCAGTTGGAAAAGAGGTTTTAAAATGCTCAACACAAGAAATACCATGATTTTCAAAGGCCCCCTTGTTAAGCCTGAGCAGAAAAATGCCAAACACCCGAAAAGGTACACAAGCTTTTTGGGCAGTTAAAAGTGGGGTTTTGCCCCATAGACCTCGATGGGAATGCCGAAAAACGCGTGGCAGAAGCATGTTCCATGTTTTTTGAGCGTTTGTCCATTGTCCACAAAGTTTCATAAGCTGCCAATCAAAACACGCATGTACAAACACGCATATAAATGTGCATAACACCCCAATAATCACACACTAAACACACGCGTGCAAAAACGGTGAGGCCTAGGCGTGAACCCGGCCTTAGTGTGTTCAACTTCCGTGGCATTCCCTGAAAGCTGAACTAAAATGGACCCCCCACCCAGGATCTCAAGCACAGAGACCTTAACCCAAAAAAGGGCAAGTGTTTTATTTTTTTTTGGGGGGTGGGGTGGGAATTAACCCTTTATAACAAATTAGAAAACCAAGTCAATAAAACCAAGGTGTTTGATAGAATGAGGAAGTGGTAAGTCCTCCATGAGAAGTTTTTTGTCTTAAGGACAAGTGATGAAAAATCCCAAATTTTAGAGAAAAGAAAAAAGTTAGTTATAGGAAAAGAAGGTGGGTGAAATCTTACAACGGGGACACATTTTCTGGTTACAGGGGATATCCTCTTGTTTTGAAGAGGTTTCCTATTACCGTCTGTTGTGCCTCTGGGACAATATAAAGAACATGCTCCCCAGAAAAAATTAATGAATAAAATCACTACCCAAAACTAAAAACACTTCAAAATCCTTGAAGCAAACTGGAAAGAATATTGGGGTTTTGCCATTGCTGACCGGCTTCTATAAACGCTACCCAACTGGCTACAATACTTCATCACGGAATTGAAACAAACATACAGATCTGAAGATTCAGAGTAATTGTCAATAAGAATGACACAACGTAGTGTGCACATTACCATGCATTACCATAAACACACCAACCTAAATAGGCCTTTGAGGGAAAACAAAAAAAAGGTTTGCTTGTATGAGCACATAATGTGCAGTTAAATAATGTGGCCAGCAGATGGTATCAAACAACCACTCTCTAATAACAAAGCGTTCATTAACAAGAAGTCATTCGGGAGCAGAAAACATTCACCAATATGAAGCCCCCAAAACATACGAATATCTAGAATGCTCACAGATTTTTTGTTATGAAATACATGTACCATGCAAAATGCTAAGAAGAACAACAACTGATAACGTTTCCATTACAGAGTCAGGCCACGCAAAGCTTCTTTTAGGTCTTGGATATTCTAACAGCAACATCCCTGTCTCCCTTCCATAATTCCTGTTACTGTCCACCTGGTAGTCCTGGGTGTTCACGCCGTTTGTCACACCCAATGTAATTGTCCCCGAATTATAAAGTACAGTTGTGCTCATAAGTTTTGCATACCCCTGGCAGAATTTGTAAAATGTTTGCAATTTTTGCTGCACCAACCGCCAAAAACACATAGAAAACCCTTAACTTCTAGAAAAAAAAAACATTTGTGATAAGTGACCAAAATTAATTATTATTAACCGGTAACATTATTAAACATTAAAATTATTAACCCCGTGCAGTGGGGATAACGGCTCGTTTTTGTCTAGGTGCAAAAAAAAAAAAAGTTATACTCCGCTGAGACAGTTCAGGCGAGTACAGGCAGTCCCCGAGTTACAAACATCCAACTTACATACCCCTACTTATAAACGGAGGCTATTGCTGCACAGCAGGGGGTCCCAGGATGCAGCCAAAGGGTACCGCGCAGCATTTCAGTAGTTGTAATGCTACCGCGCTCGTGCCGACAAGGAGTGCCCGCCTTTTTGGGTCTGGTTCGTAGTACTTTACGTACATTACAGGAAGTTGGCTCTTGTTAGCTGTGCAGACGAGGGGTGCCCGGCTCTTCTTCCGGGTCACAGTGAGGTTTTTACTGCTGTCTGAAGCCTCATTAGAAAGATTCAATCTCACTTCCTGTCCTTGAGACAACAGGAAATCTACCCCCTAGGAATGGAAATTCACTCCTGTAAGAGTTATGATGGGAAAAAGGTCTCTCCACCAAAGCTTTATCACCAATCCTTGTTTGCACGGCAACCCAAAATTTTCAAAATCCAATTGTCACAGGGACAGAAAGTGAGGTGAAATCTTCTGAACAGGGGCACACACAGCAAAACAAATGTTACAAAGGCTTAACCTTTCCCTATCCAAAATGAAAAAAATTTTGGGCTGGCATTAAGACTTAAAAAATTTACCTGTTCCAAATTACATACAAATTCAACTTAAGAACAAACCTACAGTCCCTATCTTGTTCGTAACCCGGGGACTCCCAGTATAACTTTTTTTTTTTTTCACGTTCCTAGACAAAAACGAGTGGTTAAGCCTTGCAGTAATACGTTTTAACTGGAGTTCTGCTTCAACAAAGCCTAACAAGAGAAGCACACCGTGAAGCATGGAGGTGGATTTCTGCTCTTTGTGAGGTAAGCTACAGTGGCACAAAATAATTTGTAAAGATCAGAAAATATTGGAGGACAATTTGCATTAATCAGCCTGGAAGCTGCACATTGAGTGCACGTAGGACTTTGCAACAAAACCATGATCTGAAAAACTTGAGGCCAAGTCAACACTTCAGTTGCTGCAGTAGAAACAAGTGAGGGTTCTGGAGTGTCTATCAAAATCTCCTGGCCTCCATATCATTCAGCCATTTGGGGTGATCTAAAACATGTAGTTTATGCCAGAAATCCAAAGGCTGAAGGCTTTTTGCCGAGAAGAATGGACAGCCGCACGGACAGACATTTCAGACAATCAAAGTAGACCAGGTGCACAGCGACCAGAGAGGAACGCGTCTCCAGGGATTTGCACAAGTACAGGCACAGCATCCAGAACCCTCCACCATCCCATAAGGCAGTGCAGAGGGAGATGGTGGGAAAGCTCTGCTGGCCAGATGGTGCCAAGAAAAGAGAGAAGACCACAGTCCACTCAGATGGGTGACCAGTACCACCCCCTGGAGCCTTCCATGTCCCAAAAATGCCAGGGCAGTGACTTCACTGAATGTGCAGTGCCCTGGAGCTAGTATGCTAATTATTATTATGCAAATGTTTTCTTCCATCTGAAGCCCCCCCCCCCCACAGGTAGTTGTTGCCTTGTGACAGCTGTGACTATTGTGAGCCAAGCATACACAAGTCGTCTTTTACAGAAACTCACCGTCGGCCAGAATTCATCACGCTGCTTTCTTCCGGAGGGGAATTGAGCTGTTTTATATAAACCTGAATACGTGCATTACAGATCATAAGATTTTTCACTGCATTCAGTATTTGATGTTTCTGAGTGCTGACTGATAACAACTTGCCGATTCCTTCCCGCATACGAACTTCAAAGTCTAGCTTTTCCTGAATGCAGCTGTCCTAAGGAAAGCAGATAAAAATGATTTCATAAAACACTTATTAGGAAAATAAACACAATTTGGGTAAAACAAACATATCAATGTAGAGATTTACACTGCATTGGAAGTGTTTTATTTTTTTTCCCTTGGCTACAAAGATTTAGAGCATATGTATGAACCTGAATTGCTGCTGGCAAGTAGTGGAATTCATGCTGATCTCCTGCTGTGATACAGCATCTGAGGCCGTCTGAGCTTCTGTTTGTCCAGGCAATGATTATGAATTTATCCATCATACAGACCTACAGAAAGCACAGCATCCAAGGTGCACACAGCAGCACTATACTAAAGGGTTCATGTATAACCCTTACTCCCAATGTAAAGCTGGACGACTGCTGTTCACTCGGCATTGCCACCACTAGATGAAGCTGAGGAAATTCCTATGCTCCTACATTTTCTAATGTCCTCCTGTGACCCAAAATTCAGCATATAGAGGGCTATTGCCCGCTGTATGCCGACAGCACAGAGCTCCGTTGCAGCCGGGAATGATCCTGAAAATATTGTTTGGATCCACCCCGCTGCCTGACTGACAGCTGGCTCCCTAGAGCCACCCCCGTCCCCATCTGTCCCTCCAACGAGAGCTGGAGGAACAGAGAGGGAAGGAAGGAATTCCTGCAGGGAGCAGTCACCGCTCTCTGTTGGGAGAAGCCGTGAGCCAAGCGATCAGCAGTTTGTGAATGCTCAGATCTCGATCAATAGAGACGGGGTGTGACAGTTGTAGTCAGCATGATAGCGGTGTGCTGTCTTTTCATACACATCTACCTCTCCCTTCTGCAGTGCATCTCCTTGCTGTCTCCCCCTCCTCACTACAGTATTTATGCCACTGTGGGAATGATATACATTATAGAGCAATGTTCAACTTCGAACGCTGGCACAAGTGCTTTTGGTGCACGTGATTGGACATTGGTAGAAAAGCTGTCGTATACCTGTAGCACTGTTACAGTGATTTGGCATGGCTGGCTGAACAACACATAGAACTGGTGTAATGACATTGTGCAATTGGCACATGGAAAGCACACCGATATTTACAGAAAAAATAAATGTTAGCGACATTCAAGAACAATAACTATATATAAATTTATTTAAAGGAGAACTATGGGGTCAGTGCTTTTCCCCATAGTTCTCCTAAGGGTAACGGGAGGACACAAACTCGCGTCCTCCAGTCACCCAAAGCTCAGTATACCGCGAGCTACAGCTTGCAGCATTTATAGTGCTGGCAGCATTTTAATCGCACCGGACCGCACTGCAGGCACAATGTGCCGGGCGATCGTATTGCGGCCGGAGGGCGTGGCTACGGTGCCATTCACTTCAATGACCCGCCACGCCCCCTCCAGCCCGGCAAGAAAGTGAGCCGGCCGCAATGCAAGGCAGTGCGTTCTAGCCAGAATCGGACCGGAACGCACTGCTTATGGTGTGAACTAACCCTAAAGACTTCTGATCGTTGTAGCTGGTTGCCACAACAATGAGAAGCCTGAAACGGAGCTTTTGCTGAATGCTTCTATGTTGAACTATTCAGCAAAATGCCGGCACACATCAAGATTTGCTCATCCCAATGTGTACGGCTGCCTAACAATTATAAAAAGTGCAGTGCACACCGCACTCCTATCACTGTCAGACACCCGATCACTGAAAGTGATTGGGTGTCTGAAACAGCTTCATTCTTTCATTTATTTCTGTGCCGACAAATTATGCAGCGCCTTTAAATCAGTCCCCGCCCTCAAGGAGCTTACAATCTAAGGTAACTATATCACATGCATACATAGAGGGCTAATTTAGACAGGAGACAATTTTCCTTCCAGCATGTCTTTGGAGTGTTGGAAGAAACCGGAGTACCCAGAGCAAACCCACGCAAGCACAGGGAGAACATGCAAACTCCTTGCAGATAGTGACCTGACCGGGATTCGAAACCAAGGACCCCCAGTGCTGCAAGGCAGTAGCGCTAACCTCTACGCCACTGTGCTGCCTTGTTAGAGAGGCAACCATTACTGAATGGTAACCGCTGATCTTAGCGGTTACCGGCATTCCGGAGTCCTGAATAGCTGCGCATATACCGTGTACTTCCGCAGTCATTTGGGCACTTAGTGACGGGGTCGTACCGTCTCCTATAACTAGGGGGTTAAGCGGGAACTACTAAACTCAAAGAAAAGCGATCTAGGAAGCATAAAAAAGTTGTTTATACTTCAGATAACTTCACCTGAGTTTAGAAAAGTTAAATGTAGAAGTATCAGTGTGAAGGAGGCCTAAGGGCTTGTTCACACCATTTTCTGGTCCAGATCTGCAGACGCGGTGTTATGCGAGCAGTGCGTTCTTGACGCGTTTTTGAGTGGGGCTGTCAGTATGTTAGCTAGAGTGCGAGAAAATGTGACGTGAAGTATTTTTTCTGTCCGGAACGGACTGCACTGGTGAGAACTGTAGCCCATAAAACACATAGGGATGCATTTTGGGTGCAGGAGCGCACGGTTCTGGTCCGGACATCGTGTGAACAAGCCCTAAAGGCTTGTGTGGATGGGCATACATGTCATTATGCAGTGCTACTCAAAAGCATGCGTTCAAATGTAAGGTGCAGTGTTTACCAAGAAAAAGGCATTGTCTGACCCAATTTGCAAGCAATCCAAAAGCAAATCAGTAGGAATCTGAAGAAACGGAACAAAGAGCAGGTCAAACTCAGCCTCTGAACTGCCATCTCCACTACTTCAATTAAGTGGATGGGTTTGCTGACCTGCTTTTTACTTTCGGGTGTGTAAAGAGTTGCTCCTCCTAACGCAGGATGCAGGAGTACAGCCAGCATCGCTGCTTTGTGCTAGGAGCATGCTCAAGCACGACCCCCCAGCACTATGACCGAGCTGTCACTGACACCTCCCAGTCACTGTTTACAATCAGAAGCCAGTATTACAGGGTCGCAATCACATGACAGCCAATCACAGTGGTCATGTAACGGGAAGCCTCCAGCAATACGAATGCTTAAAGGGCTGGCTCCTGGTGACAGAAAGGGGTTAGGTAGGGGAATGCTAGAACCTCTGTCGGCTTTTTATTGCTGTTGGTCTCCTTGTTGCAGCTTTTCCATCACTTGCTGTCTAGTAAAAGGTTGTTCTCATTTGAATGCATAATAGGTCAAAGTCTGTGGCCAAAGCGGCCAGTGGCGTCAGCCGTAGATGGGACATTCCCAATCACACAGCTGTACATATACAAGTGCTAGTGACAGCATTGCCCTTATATGGACACATGGCCATGTTAGGTCAAAGTCATTGACCAAATATGGCAATGTGGCCATATAAGGGCAATTACATCACCAGCTTCCCGCCCCTATGTTTACATGAAGTTCCAGGGCGGGGATACCCAGGCCACAGCTGATTGGACCGGCACTGACAGCTTCCTTCTAGGTTCCGATGAGCTCATGTTCAGTCCGAGCCAAAGCTCATTCTTATTTCCAGTATCAGAAAATCCCCTTTTAGTCAGTTGTCACAGGAATAGGTGTCCCCATTGGAAGATTCCCCCTCTATTCTTGTTCTGGTAGGAACTCAATTGTGCATTGCACTCATTTTTACTCCCGGTGACATGGAGGATCAGGACAATCAGAGAGTGAATCTCCCCATCAGATTAGGACCTGACAGATGTTGTCATCCCTCTCCACTCCCACCAAATCTAATAGAATTGCTTTGCCTTTAGTTGGGGAACTACAGTCCCCAGCATGCCATTCTACCCCTAGGCTTTCATACCGGGTCTGCACTACATAAACAATAGAAGTGGATATATGCAGAGTCCCATTGTGCTGTACACAACAAAGGCTCCTCCTAATGAGAAGAACACACCGAGCCTTATCAGTGCAGGGACAGCTCAGATTTCGGGCCGCACTCACTTCCTGCGCTGGGAAGACTGCACTCTCCCGGATCTTCTTGCGCTTGATCTCCATCCCCAGGGCGGAACACTTGGACACGGTGGCCCGGTAACGCTCCCCACGGCTGAACATTTGAAATTGGCGCCGCGCTCCCCCGAGCTCCGTCTCTTCCATAGAGCTCAGTGACGTCACCGGCCCAACGCTGGATACAGTCAGGCAAACCAGGCTCCGCCTCTGAGAGGGCGGACCGAACCATTCTGCGACGATCGCTGGAGGACACGATATTATAGTTATTAGACTTCACTTAGGAGACCACCTTATATCACGGATTCTGACTTATTTATTTTATAACACCAATATGTGTTTTTCGTATCAAACCATCCTGCGAAATAATACAGTTTGCCGAGTATTGCACTCCCCCCACCTGTTTTTATTTGGGTCTTTCCTACTGGATAGGGATAAAGATAAGCTGGGCAGTAGAACAGGTGGCTGGTTCATGGTGCAGGTGCAGCCATTACCTGTGTAATACTATTCAGCTCTACGTGCTGTGACAGAGAACGTAATACCATACAGCAGAATGTTCCAATTGTTTTTATACATTATATGCAATTAAAGGAGAATCATAAACTATATTGCCAAAAGTATTGGGACACCCCTCAAAATCATTAGATTCAGGTGTTCCAATTACCTCCATGGCCACAGGTGTATAAAATCAAGCACCTAGGCGCTACTACAAACAAACATTTGTGAAAGAATGGGTTCTCAGGAGCTCAGTGAATCCAAGTGTGGTACCGTGATAGGTTGCCACCTGTGCAATAAGTCCATCTGTGAAACCTCCTTGCTACTAAATATTGCACGGTCACCTGTAAGTGGTATTATAACAAAGTGGAAGCAACTGGGAACAACAGCAACTCAGTCATGAAGTGGTAGGCCACATAAAATGACAGGACAGTGGGTCAGCGTATGCTGAAGCGCACAGTGCGCAGAAGTCGCCAACTGTCTGCAGAGTCAATAGCTACAGATCTCCAAACTTCGTATGGCCTTCAGATTGGCACAACAACAGTGCGTAGAGAGCTTCATGGAATGGGTTTCCATGGCCGAGCAGCTGCATCCAAGCCTTTCATCACCAAGTGCAATGCGTCAGATACAGTGGTGTAAATCACGCCACCACTGGACTCTGGAGAAATGGAGACGTGTACTCCGGAGTGACGAATCACGCTTCTCTGTCTGGCAATCCCATGGATGTGTCTGGGTTTGGCGGTTGCCAAGAGAACGGTACTTGCTTGACTGCATTGTGCCAAGTGTAAAGTTTGGTGGAGGGGGGATTATGGTGTGGGGTTGTTTTTCAGGGGTTGGGTTTGGCCCCTTAGTTCCAGTGAAGGGAACTCTTAAGGCATCAGCATACCAAGACATTTCGGACAATTTAATGCTCCCAACTTTGTGGGAACAGTTTGGGGATGGCCCCTTCCTGTTCCAACATGACTGGGCACAAGTGCACAAAGCAAGGTCCATCAAAACTTGGATGAGCGAGTTTGAGGTGGAGGAACTTGACTGGCCTGCACAGAGTCCTGACCTCAACCCGATAGAACACCTTTGGGATGAATTAGAGTGGAGACTGCGAGCCAGGCCTTCTCGTCCAACATCAGTACCTGACCTCACAAATGCGCTTCTGTAAGAATGGTCAAACATTCCCATAGACACACTCCTAAACCTTGTGGACGCCTTCCTAAAAGAGTTGAAGCTGTTATAGCTGCAAAGGGTGGGCCAACTCAATATTGAACCCTACAGACTAAGACTGGGATGCCATTAAAGTTCATGTACATGTAAAAGCAGGCGTCCCAAAACTTTTGGCAATATAGTGTATACAAAGGTGTATGTAAAGGCGCATTGGAAGCTCTAGCTGTGGCCATTATGAGGTGTCATACTTTCCCTCTTAGGTTTATGTGTATTACAATATGAAGAATGTAACAAGACAAACTCAAAAATGGTGAACAGGAGCACCCAAATTCCAAGAACAGAGTCGGGGCCCATTCACACCACTATGTTCCACTGCGTTACATTACATTGAACATGCATCCTTTTTTTCAGCGCAACGCCATGCATCAGATCTAGCACCATTCACACCCATTCACTTTTCGGTGCCCTTCCAGTAAAAAATGGTTTGCAACGGATCGGAAGGTACAATTGCAAGTCAGCAGACCCTTCTTTTTACTTTCAGTTTTGGTGTGAATGCCCTCTGACATAGTAGGAAGATCCTCCTGCTGCAGTATCCAAAATATATAGGAAGCTAAGTGCTGACTTTAGGGCCCATTCACACCGACACCATTAGCATCTGTTTTTCAAGCGATGTCAAGTACAAGTACCGATATATTTTTTTTGGTACTCGCCGATACCAAATACTCATACCAGAAGTCCTACTAAAGGAAGCCGGGCAGTATGCAATGACTCCACCAGCTGACATGGAAGCATAGAGCCGGCTTTCTGGCCTACCTCTGGCGGGTAATGACTCACCGCCCAGCTACCTGATTGGCCAGCTTCCCAACCGATCAGGAAGCTGGGCGGCGAGTCATTACACCCCGCCTGGCTTCCTGATACCGGATGTTTCGGTATTGGGAGCTGCTGTCTTTCCTGCAGAAACTGCCTGGCACTTCCAGTTTTAAAGATGGCCGCCTATCTTAATGATACAGTGATGAAACAGTGAATGATGAGGCCCACGCTCGCGTGGAGGGGTGCCGATCTTGGGGGACATGAAGAGTGTCAGAAAGAGTAAAACCTGGGGACACTCAGGACCAGCCTTTGGGGACACAATCAGTGTCGGTCGCTTGGCGCCCATGTTGCTATGGCACCCTGTGCGGCCGCACAGTCCGCACACCTCAAAGGCCAGCCCTGGCCGGGGTGACACTCATTGCACAGGCATGTTCTGCCCTTGTAACCATCAGTAAGAACAATGAAAAGAGGAGAGCACAAAAAATCACAAAAGGTATCGAATGTTTTTTGGGGTCTTACTGGTCCCCCATCATTAGGGTTTATATTGATGGGAAGGCTTTATACAAGATCAACATCAGGGCAGACTGATATGGGGAATTTTAAGTGTGTGTGCAATGCTCATTTCGGTTGCCAGTTTAGCAGCTTATTACTATAAGCCCTGATGAAGGAGGGTCAATGAGCCCCTGAAATGCGTTGGATACCTTTAGTGACTTTTGCTGTGACTAATAAAAACCTACTGGACATTGTGGTGCACATGTATTTTCACTGTACTCACTACTGGCATCCTATTGACCAGGGGTGCCCATTAGGTCGATCGCGATCTACCAGTCGATCACAAAGTGAACACTGATAGATCGCGATCGGCTCACTGCCCTGTGTCCTGTCCTCCCGCGGTGCTCGTGTGGCTGCCGGCTGAATGTGTCAGACGGCAAGGGGCGGGACACCACTCACTGTGCAACGTCGGCCACATTTAGCCACATGTGCACCATGGGAGGACAGGACGCCGACGCACGAGAGGAGACCTGGGAAGTTGCTGCAGTGGAGGTAAGAAAAGACAGACAGGAGAGACACAGCAGAGAAAGTGAGAGAAGAGATAGCAGAGATAGAGAAGATACAGCAGAGAAAGTGAGAGAAAAGACAGCAGAGAGAGAGAAGAGACAGCAGAGAAAGTGAGAGAAGAGACAGTGGCGAGAGAGAAGAGAGACAGCAGAGAAAGTGAGAGAAGAGACAGCAGAGAAAGTGAGAGAAGAGACAGTGGCGAGAGAGAAGAGAGACAGCAGAGAAAGTGAGAGAAGAGACAGCAGAGAAAGTGAGAGAAGAGACAGCAGAGATAGAGAAGAGACAGCAGAGAAAGTGAGAGAAAAGACAGCAGAGAGAGAGAAGAGACAGCAGAGAAAGTGAGAAAAGAGACAGCAGAGAAAGTGAGAGAAGAGACAGCAGAGAGAGAGAAGAGACAGCAGATAGAAACGGGAGAGAGCGCGAGGAGAGTAAGAAGAGACAGAAGAGAAGAGAGAGTGCCGGTTTACACCACAAAGTGGGGGGGTTGCATTGGAGTCAATGGCACCGCAGCCACGCCCTCCGTCCGCAGTGCGATCGCCCGTGCCTGGAACGCAGGCAAATTAGTGCCTGCATTCCAGTCCAGTGCGATCAGCAAAAATCTGCAGCATTTTTGCAGATCGCACTGGACCGGAATGCAGGCACTAAGGTTCGATCTTGGGGGACATGAAGAGTGTCAGAAAGAGTAAAACCTGGGGACACTCAGGACCAGCCTTTGGGGACACAATCAGTGTCGGTCGCTTGGCGCCCATGTTGCTATGGCACCCTGTGCGGCCGCACAGTCCGCACACCTCAAAGGCCAGCCCTGGCCGGGGTGACACTCATTGCACAGGCATGTTCTGCCCTTGTAACCATCAGTAAGAACAATGAAAAGAGGAGAGCACAAAAAATCACAAAAGGTATCGAATGTTTTTTGGGGTCTTACTGGTCCCCCATCATTAGGGTTTATATTGATGGGAAGGCTTTATACAAGATCAACATCAGGGCAGACTGATATGGGGAATTTTAAGTGTGTGTGCAATGCTCATTTCGGTTGCCAGTTTAGCAGCTTATTACTATAAGCCCTGATGAAGGAGGGTCAATGAGCCCCTGAAATGCGTTGGATACCTTTAGTGACTTTTGCTGTGACTAATAAAAACCTACTGGACATTGTGGTGCACATGTATTTTCACTGTACTCACTACTGGCATCCTATTGACCAGGGGTGCCCATTAGGTCGATCGCGATCTACCAGTCGATCACAAAGTGAACACTGATAGATCGCGATCGGCTCACTGCCCTGTGTCCTGTCCTCCCGCGGTGCTCGTGTGGCTGCCGGCTGAATGTGTCAGACGGCAAGGGGCGGGACACCACTCACTGTGCAACGTCGGCCACATTTAGCCACATGTGCACCATGGGAGGACAGGACGCCGACGCACGAGAGGAGACCTGGGAAGTTGCTGCAGTGGAGGTAAGAAAAGACAGACAGGAGAGACACAGCAGAGAAAGTGAGAGAAGAGATAGCAGAGATAGAGAAGATACAGCAGAGAAAGTGAGAGAAAAGACAGCAGAGAGAGAGAAGAGACAGCAGAGAAAGTGAGAGAAGAGACAGTGGCGAGAGAGAAGAGAGACAGCAGAGAAAGTGAGAGAAGA